CTCAAATCATCCATATATAATGTGTGATTCGATTTTGGGAATTTCTCTTCGATGATTTGAGAAATTACATTCATCTGAATGATGAAGAGTAGATTTGATAAGGAATCACCTTGTAAAATTCATCTATTTAATTTAATACATCATAGATATTCATTAAATTTATAGCCGATGAATATCTTCCATCTAGTCATCATACTTTCAATAATGTCAATGATGACACCCTCTACATTAATATACTTTAATGATTCAATTACCCATTCATGGTTTACTGTGTCATATGTTTTCTTAATGTCATAATATGACTCCACATATTTTGGGTATTTCTCTTCTTTCTGCTGCTTTAATATATAACTATTTATTATTCCTTCTTTAGCAGCTAAAGACTGTAATTTACATCCCAATTAATTACTACTAATTTTAAATGATTCACAATTCATGTTAAGTCTTCTGTGAATCTTTTCTTTTAATATGGAGGTAAATACTTTCATAATTACATTTGTACAACTGATAGGATGATAATTAATGACATTATTCATATCACTTTGTGGATTAATAAAGTTCTTCCACTTACCATGTCTAATTTGATGTTTTGATTGTAGTTCAACCATTCATTAAAGATATTGAGAATGATTTCTCTTGATGATGACATCCTTTTCCAATAATACCCATATATAGTGTCTATTCATGGTGTTTTCCAGTTATTTATTCTCATTATACTTAAATTTAATTCATTTATTGTTATTATGACATTATCATAATTGATATATCTTTCATTCAATATGGTGTTTTGTTTTATTTTCCAATTTTCTTTATTTAATATCACCTGTGTTTCATATAACATTTCCATTATTCTAAAGTAATATCGTTATTTGGGTATATTTCATTTTTTGTTTCTTCCTTATTCTAATTTTCTTATTAGAATCAAACATGATTTTATTTGTATTGATTCTGACCCTTTCTTCCTTATTAAATTTAATTCTTTCTTTTATCATAGTCATCATATATTTTAGGTACTTTATTCTTTCTAGTGCTTTGACTTTTATTCCTTCTTCATCATTTTCTTTTAATTTCATGATGCACTTTATTCTGTACAATTTCATTGAATAAATCTTCTAGTCTATTTATTTTCTTTAGGATTTCTTTTATTTCATATCAAATTTATCTCTTATTATTTTATTTTGGAGATAGAGGTGCATACAAATTGAAATATTCATATCATCTTGCATATAATCATGCATTCTGCTTCCTGACCATATCAATCTATTATTAATTTCCATTATTAATCGGTCAACCTCTTTTCTTTGAAAGTAGTAATTAATGTTAGTACATTTTTCTATTTTCATTTCTTTCACTTTATTGATGAGAGTGTTAATATATTCTTCATCAATTTCAGTAGAGTTATTCTTTAATATGTTGTTTTTATTATTGAATCACACTCTACTCTTCCTTCTATTATATCATTTACTTTCACTTTAATGTATTGTTTAGTGCTTTTTATTTTACGTGACACTTTAATATATTTAATATATTCCTTTTCATTATTGACATTGATGTTTGTCACTTTTATTATACTTTCAATTGCTTCCCATCTTAATTTCATATATAATTTCTTATTTAACCAATTAATTTCAAAACAATACATCAATTCAATTAAATTTCTATTTCTTTATTTTGTTGTATTTCTTCTTGTATTTTCATTATACTTTCTTTGTTATTTATTATTCTTGTAATTTTACATCTTTCATTCATTTCTTTATTTGTATTTTTTGTTTTTAATTTATTCTTCAATTGCTTTAATGTCTTTTTCTTCATTGTCTTTTGTTTTTTCTTTAATTTCTTCTTGCATTTTTTTCAATTATCTTTTTCTTTTTGATTGAATATACTTCTTGAATAATATCATATTATCTTTTTCTTTTACCTTCTTACTTCTTAAGTATTTTTCATATTCTCTTTTTCCCCATTCACTTCTTATTCTTTTTATTCCTCTTTTCTATATCATTTATTGTTAATCATTTATATTTGTTATTGGTGTAATCTTTATTATTATTGTATTTACATTGTTTCTTATTTGTTTTAATTTGTGCCTTTCGTCTTCTAATCCCCTTTTTTCCTTGGTATTTCCTTTACCATTATTATTATTGTTATTATTATTATGCCATTTATTGCTATTGACATTCATTCTTTTATTGAATGACATTGGATTTCTATGTCTTGTTTGCTTTTCTTTACAAGACCCTATTATTATTACACAGTAACCATGGCATTAAAATTTGATGTATTTCCTGCATTGGAAAATAATCTCTCAAATATTTTAATAAAGAAAAAAATAGCAATAAATAAATTTACTTGATTTTATCTAATTTATCATATTAATTTATTCATTTATTGTATTTATATTATTATATGTGTTGATATTAAAAACTGTTGAATTAGATATTTCATTGTATTTAATGTTGTTTCTATTATTTAAATTAATAATAAATAAAAACAATCAATGTATTAACTATTTATTAAATACAAATGAAATGATAAATGAAATAAGAGTAAATTCTATTAGTTTGTAGATTCATTAATTGTATTTTTTATTAATTTTGTATTATTTTTTCAAGACTTTGAATATTTTTTAAAAGTGTTTCATTTTTTTGTGAGTCAATACTTATTATACTGCATCTCAACCATATGACGTGAATTAGATTTAATAAAACTCTGCATATTCTTTCTTTAGAAAATATCTTATTTAATAAATACCAACAATTGATTGACATATAAATGTAAAGTAAATTGTTCAATTTTATTTTATAATTATTACTATACACATTGAATTATGATAATACATTACAAACAAAATCTTTCAATGAAAAATTCAAAAACATTCAAATAAAATGATTATCATTTACAGACACATTTGTATTTAATAGTTTTTTATTATAAAAAATAAAAAAACACATAATTATATTTTAAGATAAATTACATCCTTTATCTTTATCTTTTTTATTACCTGTACTATTTTCTTTAGACTTTTTTAAACATGCTCGAATAGCCTCTTCAAAAATAAAAACAACATCTTCTTTGTCTGAATCATTCCACTCGATGTACTCAACTGCACCAATTCTTTTAGCCATCGCCTCTCCTTGTTCTTGTGAAATTAAAGTAATTCCTTGTTCAGCTAATGAGTTAATTTTTTCAGGGGTTTTTCTTACTTCAGCACAACTACCAACAAGAATGATAGGTACATCTGAACAATATTCTTTAATTTCAGGTTTCCATAGTTTTTCTACATGATTATATGAGTCAGGATCAGTTATAGAAAATAAAACAATAAAAACATCAGTACCTGGATATGATAATGGTCTTAATCGTGCATATTCTTCAGAACCCTCAGTAGAAATTATATTTATAGTATTCATAACACCATCAACACTAATAGAGACTTTTTGATCCTGAACAGCAGTTGGTGGGATTTCTCCTGGGGCAATTATGCCTGCACAAATTGCAGCAAGTTTATTTTTACCAACACAATTATCTCCAACAAGAACGCACTTGAATTCCATGAATTGGTTTTGTAGTTTTGTTGTTGATCTTTTTATCATTCTAAGAAATTTAAAGTCATTTGAAAATAATGACTGGAATATTCTACCCTTTTTCAGTGATGAAAAAAACAAATAATTGAAAAAGAAGAGAATGATATAGAAGAATAAAAAGAAAGTAAGAAGTAGAAGAAGAAAGAATAAAAGTAGAAAAAAGAAAATATAATAAAGAAAATAAAAAGTAATAAATCACAAAGAGATAATAAAAGAAGAAAAGAAAAGAAAGAAGAAATAAAAAGTGTAATTTTAATGTAAAAATTAGAAATATTCAATAAAAGTGTCTAATTTAATGATTCAAAATAATTAGTATTGTTTTATTAATGAAAAATATTTTACTATTTTTATGTTATTATTTATATGTATAACTTCATTATGATGTTTATTATATATTCAATCATAAGTGTTATGTTATTATAACATATAATATGTGATAAAATATAAATGAAAATGATATGAATATATGATATAGAATATAGAAA